GCTGTTACTCTTAATCTAACACACAGAGTCTATAGAAGGATAGAAGGTTCCTTGACAGTAAAATGCTGAAACTTTGTGTTTACTTCAGTTACATAATCATGATTTGACCCTTAATGATTGCTATGCTATTTTTCTCAATTTCCCTTTTTCTTTTGGTCGTTTGTGACATGCCTTCAACATTATTTTTTCTGGTTATAGATTTTTGACACTGGATCATTGGAAGGTCCCTTTGGCTCATTCCAAGTATGTAATGTTCAAATTTTCGGAGGTTTTATTCTTCATATTGGTTCTTTTAGTGGAGAAAGTGGCAGATTCTCTGTGGGTGATAAAGTAACATGCAAGGTAAGCTCTCCACTGTACAAATTCCTCCTATTATTAATCTTGTTATTTTTTATGTTTGTCTCTTTTTAGCTCTTTTTTTTTATCATGCAGGTTGACTATGAAAGGAGAACGCTCGTTGCCCCTAATCATACTTGCACACATATGTTAAACTTTGCTCTTAGGGTAATGTTTAAACTACCAGTCATTGTGGACTCGCAAACTTCTTATATCATTATTTTAAAATCAGTTTATGCTTCTCAATTTTCTCAATAATTATCTGCAGGAAGTACTTGGTGACCATGTTGATCAAAAAGGATCCATTGTTCTTCCTGAAAAATTAAGATTCGACTTTTCTCATGGTAATGTGTATATATATGTGTGTGTGTGTGTGTGTGTGTGTGTGTGTGTGTGTGTACACACACATTTAGAGATAGAGATCAAATAGCCGAATATTCCAGTAATTAGGTGTTCATAGACTTCTTATATTATCCTAGTCGGACTGGAATTCTCAAAATCATTAGAATTAGGGACCTTTAACAGAAAATGTAGGTTTATTGAAGACCAATTTGGGACTCAATTCATTAATGTAGAGTTTATGAGGATGCTTTAGAGGTTGTTTGTCTTTTGTGGAACAAAATTCATTTTTGGGCATTATTATGGGTGCTGATCACTGAGAAATTCCCCAACTTTTTTCTAGTTTCATTTTGGGTAAGTGGGGTGCTGTCTTCCACTAAAGACTGATATTGTTTGCATAGGAGCATACTGTGGAGATGTTAAGCTACTGATTTCTTTTGTATATATGATGCTCGAACTCTGGTCCACATTAGTATGTTCTTACTCTTTTTTTGTTATAAAATTGTAAATTTACTTAATTTAGATTCCACAGTAATGAAATGTTTCTAGTGTGCTGGAACTACAGAAATTATAGTTTTGTACCTGCAAAATCACCTGTTATTTCTAAATGGTGCCAAGAAGTATAAATTTATTTGACCCTAAATTCATGGTAACTTGGTTTTCAAATCCAAGTGTGACATTAATAGGAGGTTGCATGAGGGCCCTACTCAAATCATAAGTTCACAAAATGTAATTATATAGAGCATAAGTGGAATCTTTTTCTATGGATGCAACAATATATTTTTCATAATTGTTTTTTGCTGCTCCATTTTCAATAGGCAAGCCAGTTGATCCTGAAAAATTGAGAAGAATTGAGTCAATTGTGAACGAGCAAATCAAAGCTGAATTAGATGTTTTTGCGAAGGAGGCAACCCTTGCCGAAGCCAAGCGTATCAACGGTTTGCGAGCTGTTTTTGGAGAGGTAGGCAGTGCTTTTTTTTGTTGTTTTTATTTTTGGATCTGGATTTGTAGTATGTCAAAATCCAGTTCTTTAAAATATTCTGTTTCTGATGCAGGTCTATCCTGATCCTGTTAGAGTTGTGGCAATTGGTCAAAAGGTTGAGGATCTTTTAGCTGATCCAGACAATCAAGAGTGGTCATCAATTTCATCAGAATTATGTGGAGGTTGGTATCTTGTAATCAGTTTGCTTTTTTCCTGGATTCTTGCTTCAAATTTTGCACTGAAGTTGATTTAATTGATACATTTAGGGACACATATATCAAATACTCGGGAAGCTAAAGCATTTGCTCTTCTATCTGAGGAGGGCATTGCTAAAGGAATCCGAAGAATAACTGCTGTCACAACTGATGTTGCTTTTAAGGCAATGGAATCGGCATCCTTGCTTGAGCAGGAAGTAAACGAGGCATCAAAGATAGATGGAAGCTTGCTAGAAAAGGTCTATTACTTTCTGCTCTCTTTATTCCTTTGGCTTTGATGTGCAGTAACCTCATACGAAAACTTTCATGGTTTTTAATCTTAATTCCAGCATATGTTATCTCAGTTCTTCCCTTTAAGTACTATTTGTTTTGTTAGGAGTCTTTAGAAGCTAGGGAAAAGAAAAACCAGAATATTTTTTCTTTGTTTTGTACGCTTATGAATTCATTGATAGAGAATATTGATGCTGATGGAGTGGAAACTTGTTGGCTGCATCACTTTTCAACAATTTTTTTCTGAATTTAATTCTCAGAGAGCAACCAGCTAGATTTAGTTTTTGGTTTATCTTGATTGTAATGTTTTCTCTTTACCAGACAAATTATGTGAATGTTCTAATACAAGTCCAGTTCTTTCTGACCATGCTAATTTTTACAGAAAGTGGCTTCTTTGAAAAGTACTGTAGATGCAGCAGCAATTCCAGCAGCCAAGAAAGCTGATATCAGGGCCAAGATTGCCTTGCTTCAGGTATTTTAGCTGGCTAGGCTGAAGAAGACACTGCTTCTTAGCTCTCTGTGTCATGTTTGTTTGTTTCACTTTGTTCCCATGCAGTTTGGGTCCATTACTGTCACGTATTGTGCTGAGTTGTATTATTCTGTAGAATCAAGTGAGAAAGGCACAAAAGAAGATCGCTGAAGAAAATATTCAGAAAGCTGTCAAGGTTGCAACTCAGACGGCTGAAGTTGCTGCTTCAGATGGGAAAGCATTCTGCATCTCTCATGTTGAGGTTGGCTTGGATGCAGCTGCGGTTCGTGAAGCTGTTTTGAAAGTCATTGAGCAGAAGGTTTGTTAGCCTTCTCTTGCTTTGTGGAAGACCTACTTTATTTATTTTCCAGTCGTGCTTCTTATGTACTCATTCAAAACAAGTTATGACGATGCTGGTTGATGGACAGGGAATATCGGTTATGGTCTTCAGTACAGATGAAACCACAAATAAGGCTGTGGTATGTGCGGGTGTACCTGAGAAGTCAGACAAGGCAAAGCAGTTGGAGGTATCAGAGTGGTTGACAGCAGCGCTGGAGCCTTTGAAAGGGAGGTGTGGTAAAGGAAAAGGTGGTCTTGCTTCTGGCCAGGTTAGTGGTTTTCACATGTTCAACAGGCCAATTGCCATTACAAGACAATTTGATTTTTATTGCTATGAAAACCATTGTCCAAGTCATAACAATTGTTTTGGTCCAATTGGACTGAAGAGAAAAATTGTGGATTAAGTTTCAGTTTGGTACCCCATTTTGTTCAAGTAAGTCAAACCCAATTTTATGATTTAGAAAGCCTTAAACACACTGTTGGATTCTAATATCATGAAAATTATATGCAGCTATTTTCTTTTTATTTTAATGGGAAAACTTTTCTAGGTCATTCTATGTTAGTGGTCAGGAAAATCAATTGTTCTTTTTTTCCTTTTTGTGACTGCATTCAAACAATTTAATTTTGGAAGTTAAATTGAAAGTAAAATCGGTGTCCTATTTCATGAATTCAAGCTCGATCTAAACTAATTTTGAACAATCCCACAAAATCCTTAACAATCATTGATTTGCCTTCTTCCATCTTCCCAAAGCTCCCAAAGGTTTGTTTGGTTATCCTATTTGGCCACCATCTTAACCTCACCTCTGTTAATATAATTCTGTACTCATCTTAAAGCTCTCTGTATTATACCTCCTTTGGAGAGTTGAGTTAAGGATCTCTTTTGTTCTTGGGTTTTCAGGGAACAGACGCAGCACAAGTGAGCAAGGCCATGGATTTGGCGACAGCATTTGCATCGATGAAATTGAGATGATCATAAGATTTTCCAGTGTTGTTTCCACAAGAAATATGAGATTGCTGTTATCAACTTGTGGTTGATGTACTGAAACACAATAGGAAACAGCCAAATATAAGAAAATGATTACGGTTGTTACTGCAACCAGGAAAGTGGCAGTAATGGTTAATTTATAATGAAAATGGTTATGTTCTTGTGCTGTATTCACCCCTTATATAATCTATTTATTAAGAAAGGTTATGCTCTTATTCCTTTTTTAAAAGTGTTTTTTTTTTTTTGGTAAAGTTTGTTCTTGAGGATTTAATATTATATTTTTCCAATATAAATGGGTATAATATTGGTTTAAATGATAAACAAAAAACAATAACCTTTCTTTATCTTCATTAGTCAAACTTATCCGAGCTGTAATATAGGTTTCATGGTTAAAGTTATTTGGTAGTAATTGTAGTTATCCCTAATTTAGCGTATAAAATAATGATCACTATCATTTTCTGATTTATGATGGTGGGATTAATTTTTCATTTTTCAGCATCAGAATTGACCCTTGCAGTCTTTCATAAATTTAAATTAAATTTAGTAAGATATAAAAATAGATGTTCTAATTCAGTAATTATTGGTGTATTAATTATTAAGAAAACAAGTTAGTTGGGAATATACAGTAGGGTTAGCCATTCAATAGAGGAAATTTAACTCGTCCGACCTTCCAAGTTTGCATTTTAAAAATAACCTTGAAAAATTTTTGCAATTTTTATTTAAGTTAGAAAAATTGACGTGGCATATTTAGGATTCATTAAACATATAAAATTGGTTAAACTGAAAAGATTTAAACATATGTGGGTAATATTATAATTAACGGAAGTTTGTTTAAATTTTGAAAATTAAAAACGACCCCCTCCCTTCAAAATCACTTAATCGAGTAGTATGGCCAAAAAACGACCAATGAAACACCTTCGATTTCTCTGTGATTTCTGGCAATAAAAGTTTCCTATTTCTGGCCAATTTTCAATCCTAAAGATTCGTTACACAAAATCATGGTTGATATTTACAAAGAGAAGGAAAATTCAACCCCATTCTAAATCCTAGACTCTAACGACAGCAGCTATTCAAAGGCTGTTGAAGAAGACGCTCCGATGGATCATCCGATGAGTCAAGGTGGTCCAGAGGCAGAGGAGACAACGGCGACACAAGAACAGAAAGAAGAATCGAAAAATGGTTATGAAGAAGAGGATGCCGACAAGAATTCAGGCACGGAGGAGGACGCCGGTGAAGAAAAGGTACATTTTTTACTGGTGGTTTTGAATTTGATGAATAATTTGATTAGTTTGTGCAAATTTAGGGGATATGTAGATGGTTTTATTATTACGGTGGTTGTGGCGTTTTGTCGAGTAGTTGGCGGACATTGGGAGAGTGACTTTGTTTGGGTTCCAGAGGATAGGGGAAGGCAAGGGAGGCCATAGGGAGGTTGGAGGGCCGGGGATGGCAAGAGGTGGTGGAATAAGGGGGCTAGATGGGCCTCCAACCCCCCTATTTCGCCATCTCCTGCCATCCTCAGCCATCTCTAGTCATGGAACCTGCCACAACAACCTCTGTAGGGCTTGCATTGGCTTCCCTGGTCCTCTCAAAGCCAAAAACACCCACTCCTCGATGCCCTCGAAGCCCATATCCCTCAAATTGGCAGCCTATTGGTTGTTTTGGTTTTTTTTTTTTAACTTTTGCTGATATTTAATTTATATCGATTGTGCAGATTTTTCGAAGCATAAATTATAAAGACTATGGGTTAGAGGTTGTAAGAAATAAGGTACCGTACTTCCCCATAAGGGTGACAGTTATGTCGAGTTGTCAAGTTTTTATGAGAATAATGGAGATTTTAGAGGAACAAAAGAAGGGTATGAACCGATTCAAAGAGAGTTGTTTTTGTCATTTTGCGTACATCAGAGAAAATTGGAAAAAGGCGTTCTGGGTGCAGGGAGTGCATTAGAAGTTGCTGCACTCAGTTAAAAGCCAAAAAAAAAAAAAAAAAATGAAATGTGGTTCGTGGTGGATGGGAAGCCATTACGTTTTGGGATGATGGAACTTGCCCTGATGACAGATGTAAGATGTGGGGCATTTCCAGATGCAGAAGAGTAAGAGAGAATAACGAAGAGTAGGGTAGCTGATAACTTGACTAAAAAGGTTTTAAGGAGGAAGGCGTCTATTACGGGACGTGATTTAGAGGAAAGGAATACCTCTTCAGAGAAGTTCAAGATGTGCTTGGTATGATTCGTGCATTTGATCCTAATGACTTCTAACTCAACAAAAGCCGTTAATATGGATTGGGTGAAGTTTGCGAGCAACATGGACTTCTTTAATACTTATCCGCTGGGACGGTTAACATTTCAGCTAACCATTGAGTCCCTGCGTGGAAAAGACATGGCGATAAAACATCGCCAAGCTGTCGAGAAGGATAGACCGAGCATATACAATTTGTTTGGCTTCCCATGGGCAATGCCGGTAAATATTAATAGCTTTTTGTTATATTTTTTTTGTATTATATGTGTTTTGATTATGATATGGATTATTTTTTTACAATGTAGGCTTAGATGTATGAGGTCGTCCCTGTCTTTGCTAAGGCAGGGGACAGAAGAAGACTTCGGATGAGCGACTGTAATTTCCTAGGATGTTGCTGAAAAATGGAATACATAGAGAATGATGCATGTGATACGATAACATGTATATTCATATTTTGCAAAACAAATTCAATCAAATTGAAAACAAGTAAGGTATAACTTGTTACCTTAAGTCCTTAGCAACCTTGGAGACTTTTAATTTCAAGAGAAATTAAACAAAAAAGTATCCACACTANTAGTACAATAAGTACCACTTTGTCGAGGCATCGGGGTCGGGAGAATGAGGTGGTTGACCTCATAAACGGTCTGTTTGAGAGTTTTACAACAACTGTTTATAAGAGGTTTGAGAAGATAGAAGAGCGGATGAAAATGGTGGAGGAGAAAGTTGATAGGGTGGAGGAGAAAGTTGGTATGGTGGAGGATGAAGTTGGTGGGGTATTGAAAGTGGTTGAAGTGCAACCTAAGCATAAAAGAGAGAGCCGAAAGAGTAAACACATAAAATCTCCTTACACGGCAGTAACGTATGGAAAGAGGAGGAAAACGAAGAAAAAAAATGAGGAAATTTGTGAAAGTGGAGAAGCAAAAATGGAGGAGGGTAAGGAGGAAGGCGAAGGAAGTGGGAAAGTGAAAATGGAGGAGGGTGAGGTGGGACATGAATGAAGTGGGGAAGTGAAAATAGAGGAGGGTGAGGTGGGACGTGAATGAAGTGGGGAAGTGAAAATGAAGGAGGGTAAGGCGGGATGCAGAGGAAGTGGGAAAGTGAAAATGGAGGAGGGTGAGGAGAAAGGTGGAGGAAGTGGGCAAGTGAAAACGGGGGAGTTAAAGGTCGATTTGTATAGGCCAATATATGAGAAAAAGAAAAAACTCTTCTATGCCTACTACAATGATTCTGTAAGTGATAGGCATGTGAAGTCCAAGACCGGGGATTATACCCGGGAGTAGTTTGAAAAGATGTTGACAATAGACAGGTGGCTCGACGACTCGGTGAGTTATTTTCCCTTATTTTTTCTTATTTTTGCTTATGTTTTCTATGAGGTATTGTATACCTATCATGTTGTTTTTATTTGATGCAGTACATTGATGAGGTATTGACACTTATGAGACTACGATAGAGCAATAATGGTGATATTTTGCATCCGTACTGTGCCATCACCAATGTGGCCTTTGGCCAAAGGCTAGTAACTACATATGACACTTTAATGAAAAAGGCCAATGGTGGAGGTGCCAAAAAGGGAGGCAAGTGGAAAAGATCGCCCACAGATGATATCGACAGTGTCTTTGGTGATTTTCAGTTTGATGAGAGGATGGTGCAGTATGTACTGGGGGAAAGTCCCAAATGTGGCAATAGTTAAGCAAACGTTAAAAGAGTATACTACATCATGAACATCAAGAATATGCATTCGATAACCGTCGTTTGGGTACTAGAGGAGGGCTTGCTACATATCCTTGATTGCAACCCGAGTATTTGTCAGGAGAGACAGTTGGAGACAGAGTTGTAGCCGCTATGTATATTGTTCCTACAGTTGTTACGCGACAGCAGGATGTTTTAGCACTTGGGTGATGAACTATTGACAGGAAAATGGCCACTCAAGCGCCTTCCTGTCCCGATAAATGACTCGAGGAAATTTTGTATAAAACTTACATAATACAATTGTTCTATAAACTGATTCTAATGCTAATGTCTTCCTTCTATTTTAGTGCTGATTGGGGGCATATGCACTAAAATTTATTGAGTTTGACATGACCAACACCCCATGGGCAGGTTGAATAACGAAACAATGAGCAACTTTTAGGAGTGGTTGGCTGTTGAGTGCTTCCATAGGCATATGGATCCCTTTTGATTGACAAGAACCCAATCAAAGTCATTGTTGATGCTGTTATCAAAAGGTATGGAAGTTGGACTTAGAGTTTTGTAGTTTATGTGAAATGCATTTCTTATTGGGTTGTCTTGATTAATTGGATTGTCTTGAATTGGATCAGCTGGTGTTGTTAGGCGTCAGGTTGGTTATACTTGGGTTGTGGTGTTATGTATGCTTTGTGGCCAAGGCCAAGGTTGGATAATATCAGAAGGGGTGCTGTAGAAGAAGACGAAGAGGCTGCTGCTGATGCTGAAGCTGTGCTGGATAATTGTGGAGGATGGGGAAGGGCTGAAGAGAAAGCTGAAGAGGGAGGATGGAGGCTGCCAACACTGCTTTTATTTTGGGTGTATATAAGACATTTATTTGTTGTATATAATGTTGTAATTTAATGTAATTGACACATTTCAGATTTGTTCAAAAGCAATTCAGTATTTCTTTCCCTCTTTTGAGTTTGAGTTTATTTAGTATTCTTGTTAAATAACATTAATGTGTTGATGCAATTAGGTTGTCAAATTTAGGAGAAAAGATGGAATTAATATGTGTTGGTGATTTTAGTTTGTCAAAGTTCAGGAGAAAAGCTGGAAAAAATAAGTGTTGCCCATGATCGCTTAAGCGACAATATATATCGCTTAAGCGATCAAGGGTTTTTTATACTAAATTGCTTAAGTAACCAAAGCTAAAAGTGAAAAATGCTTAAGCGAGACCATAAATTGCTCAAGCGATCGTGCATCTGTAATGATTTTGATTATATCTTAGACTTGATCGCTTAAGTGACCAAGGCTAAATGTGAAGAATTGCTTAAGC